GCTGAACATAAACAGTATGGGATGAGGAGCTCAAAGCCTGGTTTCCATTCTGAGCATGGAAGGAAAGCTGTTCTTTCAGCTGCTACTGCAGTTGCTTGGGGGATGCTTTCTGATCTAAATTGGGACCTGCTACATTTTATCCTGCCAAGGACTACTATGGTTGGCTGCTGAGCATATACTGAAGTAATGTGAGATGCAACAATCAGGATCAGACTGTTTGAGGTCTGAGGAAAGCACGCTGGCAGCTACAGGACAGAACTGAGAAAAAAATGAGCAGGTGAAGGATTCTTTTCTTAGGTGGTGAAGAGGATACAACTCCTTTTTCAGGACCAAGAGCAATATATGAACTGGCTGCCACGCACTTTCTAACCTTAACCAAGACACCAACATATTTGCCTTGGTGGAGAGGAGGGGGAAACCCACACCAAACAAAAATGCCTCAACAATGAAGAAAAATAAAAAACTCAACTATACAGTGCGTGTGTGGAGTTTCCCTGCCTCCATCCTGGTGACCATTTCCCAATGCCTTTTAATGCTAGGATACCCATGCAAGCAGAGAACACCAACCCACCTGGCTGTTCAAAACTTTGGAAACAAAGAAACTTCATTGCTAACAAAAGTTCTTGGTGGCCAACAGATGTACCTCTAATCCAAAAATGTTCTCTACAAGAACTGGAGATGAAAGGTAGGTATACATTTACATAGCAACCTTAAAATCTCCTATGGGGTGCATGTAATAGCTCTGAACACAAGTACTGTTCGAGGCAGGGACTACCCAGCTTCTGAACCTATAGGTTTCCTTTGATACTTTTGAACATGGGGACTGTAACCCCCCACCTCCCCAGCTGGTTTTTGCAGGACTGAATCTACAGAAACAGACAGAAACCTCCCCTCCAGGGAGGAACAGAAAATTCATTCATGTTGCAGACTTGCAGCTGATTTGCAAAGCAGGACACGAGTGATATAGAAATGATAAAGAGTGAAACAAGCTTCTTACCAACGTGGAGAATGCACAGCTATTGCAGTTTAACAGCCTAGAGGATTTCTGCACTCCACAATCATCTGCCCCCATGAAGGTTAAAAAAAAGTTCTCCCTCTTCTGTAGCATACCTTGGCTTTTCTGAAGTGTAACAGTTTTTCCCAGTGCATGGCTTCCACAAAGAGGAGTTAACATGCCTACACGAACCCTGCTCTCTCTCATCCGACTCCAGCATAACTACCCAACTCTCTGGAAGAAGGTAGCTCAGTACCTGAAACCATGAATCACTAATTACTCAGTCGCTCCTCCCCAAAGGGGGGTGGCTCTATCCTTTATCAGGGGAAGGGATGTGAGAAACAGCAAGGTGACATCATCAGAAGCTGGAAAAAAAATTTTTTAAAGGGACAGCTCCTATGCAACTGCGAACATTAAGGCAAGCCTGTGGCATGGGGGCAGAATCTGAAAGCATGAGCTTCAGTCCTACCTATAGGGCCTGGTTACAGCCTTACAGAAGAAGAGCATTCCCACTTCCCATGTATGGTCCTGGGCTAAGGTGCATGAAGCAGAAACTGCTAGAGGGAGATAAAGAGATGCAGACATGTTTTAAATCTCTGCCAGTAATGCTCCTTCCATGCACCTTTGTGCTGTACAGGCAAGAGATGCAGGAGTCACAGCTGTACTGAAGAAACTGCCCGATTCTGCCGCGAGCTGGAATGAACATACTCGGGCTGCCAGGAAGGCTGCAGAACGGTTTATTCCTGCCCTGACTGCACAGGACATCAGCATTGAGAACAAGCTGGTCCCAGAACAGAAAGCATACTTAACTGACTCAGGGCTTCTGTTTCACAGCTTCCCTGGCAGGAAATTTGCTTTATAAGGTGCAGTACACACTCTAGGAAATGCTAATGAATGAATGGGAGGGTGACTTGGAACCTCGACTTTCCAGATGCAGCTTTTTCCTGCGTAACATTCAGTTCATTTCCTCCGTCCCGGGGAAGGAACACTGGGGCTCACTTTCAAACAATGCAGCTTTTAAGAACTCTCTTCAGTGGTGCAGTTTTCTTCCTTAGAAGTCCCCGGGGCCGTGTATTTCAGGAACCTGGTTACTAGGCCTGCTCTTCCTCATTTACTCACTGCCACCTTGGTGCCAGAGAAGCTTTTCTTCTTCCCTGCTCTCACTGCATCAGCTGGTCTACCTTGAGGTTTTATTGACGACTTAATTATTTCTCTTAACATTTCCACACAACTAGGAGGGATGGAAAAATATAATCAGAAAAAACAAACTAAGGCAGGACTGTATTTTACACGAGTTAATTCCTCCTGCAGTTGCCATCATTAAAACAGCATTCCTGATTTAGCCTGTCAGTCATTCTTTGGCATTCATTCATTAATAACCAATAATGAACCCTTGTTAAATGTTCTGCAGATTAAACTGCTACATAACAATTACAAAAAAAAAAAAAGTCAGCAGACTTGTCTTGTGACTAGATAGACAGCCCTTGGCCTCTGTCTCGGTTTGCTCACCCTTGAGCTACTTTGAACATAGACATGTAGGCATCTTACTACAGCTCCAGACATGAGCTTGACCCTCGCTCTAATTCCAAAGGCTGCTCCCAGTCCATCTACATGTGGAGGGGTCAGAGGCAGCTAAACGTGATTTTAGATCCATTGCTCCCTTGTGCACTGCTGGCCATGGAAAGTCCCACAACTCAGCCAAGCTGGCCTTGTGGTCAGCAGCCCTTTGATCTGGTTCTTCTACCAACTCTTCCAGCCAAGTGTTCCCTTCCCCAGCCTTCCACCATAGAACAAGACACAGCAGATAAAGTGGCGTGACAGGTCACTGCCCTATTCACATTTTGATAAGAGCCAATGCTAACAAACCACTGCTGTGAGGAAGGTCACAGCACTGTTTATTCTTGCATTTGTCCTAGAGGACATCAGACTAAAACATGTTAGAGACAGAGCAAAACACAAGGGAAAACATGGAACCTAAACAGTTCTCTCCCATCCCTTCATGCCCTGCACTTGTATAACTCAAGGACGGAACGTGTGCATTTTAAAATCACCTCAGCTCTTTCTTTGTTGTTGATTTTTTTCTATGCGTTTTGGAAACAAAACATCCGATTTTGTTTCCAGACCATTTTCTGCTGTGTTTTTCTGCACAGTGTTGCTGTGTTTCGTGTGCAGATTCCAAGGGGGTATGTTTATAGAAGCTGCTGCTACCTTAATCTAAACATTTTTAAGTGAAACATTTCTATTGGATTGAGGCTGTATGAAACTAGCCAGTGACCCTTTAAAGCACTATGAAAATGGGCCGATTCATGCCCAGCACTGCTAACAAATACATTATAATGGTGTCTGTTCTTTTCTCCCAAGAACCAGCCTATTGTTAGACCTAAACACTGGATAGCACCCTGGGCTAAGCTTATTTAAATAAGGATTTTCATCCAATTTACAGCTTGTTCTCTAAGCACAGAAAACATTTCCACATTTGTCAGAAGGATATATACTGTCAAGCACAGAAGGCTGCCACAGTGAAGCTTCAGTGTTGGATCCCCTACCCTGTGTACCACACCTAAGACAATACAATATACAAAGAGATGATTACAATAGATGCCCTCTGTTAGATAGGCAGCACTCCCCTGGGCATCATCACACAGGTTGGTGTTAAACTAGGCCAACATGTTCACTGGCTGGTAACCTGGTACTGCATTGCTCTGCTTGCTAGCATGTAAAAAGAATATGGTTTGGCATTTGGAAGCAAAACAGTTGCATCTAGTTTTATTAGCTGGTTCTTCAGTCTGGGGTGACTGCAGAGCGTTCGCCAGTGGCTGAAGTACCCTTAGTCATCACAAACACTCAATACACCTGATGGAAAGATGGAAAGAGTTAGCATTCACGCATTTGCTGACCAAGGTACAGGATACCAGTGCTAACAACAGAGGACATTCAAATGCCAAGATGGACTGACATGTATTTTGACAAGAGTAGTATGTAATTACATTTCCCTATTTAGAATTGGTGGCTTTCGACAATCTTTTCTTAGGACTGTAACAGATTACTTCATCGAGCCTAAAAGCGAGCAATGACCCTGTCTGCGGGATGACTGACCAAGGGACCATCAGCCCAGCCCATCACATGGGCTTAACAGCTTAGCTCCCTGTTAATACAGATCGGGACGTGCAATTGAGATACATGATTCAGTTTCCGACTTCTCTGACTTGACATCATCCTTAAAGCAGCACTAGTGTATACTCCTGTTTACCCAGCATGTCAACCTGA